CATCGTCGCCCACTGGTCACCCACCATAGCCGGTCGAACTCCGGACGAAGCTAGAACAGCACTACCGTTCATACTGGCGACAACGCTCTGATGAGACAACGAAACCCTACCCCAAGCTCCTCCCCTGATCCTATCCTTCGAAAATGTACCCTTCTAACCTCGAGTAAGCCGCGAGTAATCGGCCCAACTCCTACTAGACATAGAATTAAGTGAATTTTGTTACACACAGTGAACAATGAATTATCGGCTCCGTAAAGCTAACGCGATTGAGCCTCCCAAATAAACGAACTAGATAAAAAAAAAAAAAGTTACTGATGTCTTATGATTATGCTCAATCAACTGTTCAGCAGGCAACATTGGTGTTTATGGAGCGTAGAATACAGGACAAAAATCATGGCTACTATGTCACACTTCAGAATATAGTGTTGCCCACAATACAGTTGCTTAATTTTGGTAATTTTGAAAACCCACCGAGACAAAGCGGTTGGTGCAACTCAGTGGGTAACGCGTTCTTCGGGGGAAAGCTGTACACTGAAAGTTTTCTTTTATTATTTCCCCCTTTGTGATTTTCAAACTTTTGAATTGGGTGTTGATAAAAGAAAAACTTAAGATTTGTTCCGGCCAAACGACTTAAATTTTTTTTTTAAGGGCTCGACTAGCTTGATGCTGGCGTTTTTACTTACTGAATAGGAGATCGTCGGTTTAAGACGTGTTGATCAGATTATCCATATTAAATCCTTCTCAAGCGTAGTTCTCGTTGTCGATGATGTTACCGCCGGGACCGAAATCTAGTAACAGCAAGTTGAACGGGAACTTGATCTTAATTGTTTTGTGATATAAGGAGCTCGGAGACCTAGTGGCGACCGATTTTGCTTACTGAGCAGAAGACCATTACCAAAACTAGTCCTGCTGTAATCCCAACCCTTTTATCCAAATGTTTTTTTGTTGGGGGGAGTTGAACCACTGCGTCCATTATTTAAACTTCTGTGGTACCGCTGTTTACTGTTCGTATCATGCAAGCTGACCACCATTTAATGAGTGGACAGCTAATTGCCTGGACACGTTCTTTCCCAGTCAGGTATGATATGGTTTATGAAACCAACTACCTTTCCAGGATTACCAAACCAAATTCCACTAGGTTGTAAGATAACACTACGAAGTAATTTAGATCTACGCCTGTGTAATGCACCGCAACTGCAGAGCAGATGTTCCGAGGTTTTACGTTCTATGCTACAGAAACGGCAGATATCGCTCTGAACCCGAACAATGTTCTTCAACACGGACAGTGCCCAGTTACTGGGCCATTGTATATACGAAGAGCCCGTTTATTGAGCTCCAAGAGCTTTTTGGTATGTGTTGCATTTGGAGTTATAAATCTTTTCGACTGGTCGACCATCCAGTTGGCCATTACCCTTTGTTCTTCCCAGCGTTTGAGTTCCATTTTTACCGTCCAGTTTGATATTCCACAGTAAACGGTGAATTGGAACCTATTTTTACGAGATCGTCTGCCCTTTCATTCCCTTCAATGCCACAGTGTCCAGGAACCCAATATAAGTTTACTGAGTTCTGTTTGCACAGCTGTCGCAACAAGAGAATACATTCCCAGACAATCTTTGATGTACATTTGTAAGCACGAAGCGCTTTCAGTGCTGCTTCACTGTCAAAAAAAAAAACAGATATTTGCACATCTATATTTTCTCCTTAGGCAAACACTTACACATTCAAATATGGCCACGATTTCCGCTTGAAACACTGTTAGACAATGTCACATCGCTACTGAAATATTTGTCCCAGGGCCAAAGATTCCTGCACCTGTATGTGTTCCAATTTTTGAGCCATCTGTGAAAAATATGATTGAGCCTTAACAAACGCTAGGACCACCGGCTTCCCAATCCGAATGCAACATTTCACATACGTTGAAGGGAGTGTCGTAATTGTCCTCTGCCCAAGTAACCATAGGCACGTTATTTCGCCTTTTTGGCTATATACAGCTGAACATCGGCTATACCAGAGTTTGTAAGTTCTGATGAGGCCCTCATATAGCCAAAAAGGCGAAATAAGGTGCCTATGGTTACTTGGGTGGTTTCATCCAGTCACAATTCATACTCATCACTGGTCCTCTTTGGAAGTATCGTAAAATACTTAGATGATCAACCAGGTCACCAGGCATGACTTTTTTAGACCTTTTGAGCCTTAGAGCACTTCTTTCCGCTTCTAGTTGAACGTATTTATGCAAGGGCAGTAGATTGAGAATTGCATCTAACACTTTTGATGGGGTGCTGCGCATCGCACCCGTTATAGCAATACATGCTAGACGTTGCAGTTTTGCCAGCTGGATCTGTGCTGTAGCCTCTTTCGTTTTTGGCCACCACACTAACGAAGCATAAGTTACTTTTGGACGGATTACTGATGTGTAAATCCACATTGTCATTGTTAGTTTCAAACCCCATTTTCTAACAAAAGTTTTGGAGCATAACCACAGGGCACTGGTTGCTTTGTTGATCACAGAATCAACCTGAGCATTCCAATTCAACGTGGCATCCAATATAACTCCTAGGTATTTGACCTGTTCACTAAGATGGATCTGTTCTACTCCAAGCTTGAACTCCTTTAGGTTGAACTTACTACTTTTGACGGATTAATGTTTAGGCCCTCCTTAATACACCAAAATTGGGTAAACTTTAGAGCCTGTTGCATTCTTTCTGAAATGATAGCGTCAAACTTTCCTCTAACTACGATGACTATATCATCCGCAAAGCCCACAACTTCGAAACCTTTCGCCTCTAGGCTTCTTAGAAGATCATCTACAACTAAAGACCACATTAGTGGTGAGAGGACTCCTCCTTGAGGACAGCCTTTCGTTGCCTTTACTGTTATAGATGAGCTTCCCAGCCCAGAAGTGACTTTTCTTTTTGCAAGCATAGTATGAATCCAGTTGACGATGTGCGTGTCGAAGTTCCTTTTCTTCATGGCGTCAACCATAGAAGAATAGGATGCGTTGTCAAAAGCTCCTTCAATATCCAAGAAAGAACAAAGTGCGATTTCTTTAACTCAAAGTGATGTTTCGATTTTAGTTACCGAAGTATGGAGGTCAGTAACTTTTGATTTTCCAGCTTGATACGCAAACTGAAAATTAGATATTGGATGCACATGTAAGTTGAATTGATGAAATCATTCAACACTTTTTCCATAGTCTTCAGTAAAATTGATGAGAGACTATGGGCCTAAATGCTTTTGGCTGCGTTTTATCACGCCTCCTGTTTTTCGGTATGAATATAACTCTTACCAATCTCCATTTTGATGGAATGTAGTTTAATCTTAAACTTGCCTTATAAATCTTAGTTAGAGACGGAATCAGCATTGCTTCACCGTTTTGAAGTAGTGCCGGGAATATGCCATCCACACCCGCAGATTTAAAAGGCTGAAAAGATCTCACAGCATTCTCCACTCTGGCAATTGTGAAAATTTCATCAGCTATATCTGGTATGGTGTTTTCTGTTCTCTGAGACACTGACGAGGTCTCTATAGAACACATTTCACCAACAGAATCAGAATTATCTGATTCCACACACAATACCGAACCTGGACAATGTGTTTCCATCATTAAATTTAAAGTTTCAGAGGGAGATTTGGTAAAACCTCCATCATGACATTTAAGATTACCAAGTTCAATCGTATGGTCTTTCGCAAGAGTTTTCCGTAATCTCGCGACTATAGGAGTATTGTTTATAATTTTACACATTTGAATCCAAGACCGCCTCTTAGATTTCCGTATTTCATTATTATATTCAGATAGGGTTTTCTTATATTGAGTCCAATCAGAAGTGATTTTCGCCTTATTGAACATCTTACGTGAAACTTTCCGAAGGCGTTCCAATTTCAAATTCCACCACGGCACATCCCTGTTAGAAGACGACCGTTTGATAAGACAGCTACTGTTGTAGGGATTTATAATTCTTTCGTTTATCATTTCAGAAAATGATTCTAATTGTTGATCCAACATCCCAGTGATCTCTCGTGGAAGTGTAGAGGTGATCTCGGCTTAAAGCGGATATTACGTCAATATATTCCTACCCATTCCTTTCTTGACCAGCATTCGCACGATGGTATTGTCTAGTTTTAGGTCACCAGTATTTACACATTGAGGATGATTGCTAATCCCAAGCAACGTCTATTGGTTCTCTGTGTAATTACACCAGATTTGACAATAACAGAGTTGCATCATTGGTCATTGATCATGCTCAGAAACCGATTTATTGTCACAAATATTGTTTTCTAAGCAACACATATTCAAAATATCGTACGCACAAAAAGTTTAAAATTTTTACCTAAAGTTGTTACTCTGTTGTTATGTAAATTTTCAAATGTCCAAGGTTTTCAAGATTCCAAAAGTTTGCATAAGAAGCTTGTTTTTTTTTTTTAATATAAATATTGACCAAGAACATTTTTGTTATTTATTTTTCTATAATAATTTTCGATTTTTCTCGAAATTACTAAATTAGGGGAAATGGGTCTACTGCCTATGGATCTAAGATTTTATCTAGAAACGCGTCATTGGGACGGTACAAATGGATATTTTTGGTCGCTATTGAAAATTTAGTCGATTGCTGAATTTATATATGGCCCCAAATTAGAGGCATTTAGACATCACATCCATTTCCCCTAACGTGTATATTTTTGCTAGAAAGACTTTATTTTTCCCTATAAGTTTGTCTCAGACGGCATCCCGATTAGAAGTGACTTTTGAAACAAAAAAGCAAAGACTCAAAATGGCCGATTTCCAGCAGAAATGTGAATGATTGTCCATAACAAACAATTTTGCACAGTTTCATGCAAATCGGAGAGGGTCGAGTCTGAGCGATTCATCATTTGGCGTGGAACTGCCTATGTAAAGAAAAAAAACCACCCATCCACCCACCCACTCACTCGATTCAGGACATTACCTACGTTATTCTCATACATATTTCTGTTTTTTTCCCTTTATTTCCTCTCTCCACCAGAAACAACGAGCGACTCTCGAAATCGGCGCATATCGATTTTCAGCGTCGGAAGCTGCACATAAAAAATGCAACAGCCAAGGATAATGGCGTCTACGGTTGTCTGGTGGTGGTGGTGCACCGGGATGGCGAGGTGGCGTCGTCGGTGGCAAGCGTCAAAAACTACCGGCTCAAGTTGAAGGGCACAGGTGCCACCGCTGCTGCCGCCGTCAATGGGAATGGCGATGCTAATGGTAAGTACCCCTGGGCCTCTTGACGATGAATATTCTTTATGGGTGATGGGGATTTGGAGTTGACTTTCCCGCAAGATGGTGAGAGATGTTGGAAGTGATGGAATTAACATTAATTCGAAGAGATAAATCAGACGGGGTCGAGGGTTCGTGCTCAGCCGTTGAAGTCCTTGGGAAAGGTGAAGAGGTTGTTGGTGGTGAGCTACCATGCGTTCCTTCAAGTTTAGCTTTTTGAAGGGAACGCATAGTTGCCTCAACACTATTTGGTTCGAATTGTGAGCACATGGATTCTACGTGTTTCACATGGTATCATTATACCAATAGCTTTGCACATCATAGTTGAGCATTCTACACTACCGTATGCGTGATAATGCTTGCACCATCGTACAAATAAGGTTCTCGTTTCACCTGTGCATACAACGCCTTGGTTTTCTTTGGATGTACATAACCTATAACTCATACCGTAGTAGGCTGTGTATAAAAGAAAATGATTTACTTAGTTTGACAGTTGCACCATGACGAAGTGGCAGCGTATTCGTGATTTGTCCCACGCGCAAATGTCGCAAAAAGACATTTCAATCGCCGTGGGAGTGTCCCGGTGGACCGTCAAAAGGGTTTTAGACCGAGAAAAGAAAGGGCAACTATCCGCGAAGGTGGCCACAGGTCAGCTCTGGTTCCGAGGGTTATCGCTGCTATCAAAAGAAAGATTAGGGTGAATCCAGTGCGTTCAATAAGGAAAATGGCAAAGGAACACGGGATCAATGACTTTACGGCACGGAAGATCGTAAAGGAAGATTGCGGGGCGAAGTCGAGGGCACGGAAAAAAACCCACATGATTACTAACCGCATCCGGGAGCTACGAGTCGAACGATGCAAGAAGCGAAAAAATCCGGTAATCCTGAACACCGACGAGAGCATGTTTACCGTCGATCCCGTATCAAATTCCAGAACCGACCGGTATATTAGTTCTCTTCCGGTAAAAGACGTGGCCGACGAGCACAAGAACGTTTATCTGACCAAGCATCCTGCTAGCGTTATGGTGTTTGGATTGGTGGCTTCCGATGGCAAAAAAATGGACCCGGCGTCGATTCCAGAAAGCGACAAGGTCAACACGGAGGTCTACATCGGGATTTTAAGTAAGTATGTTCTTCCGTGGGTCAAAGAACAGTACGGTCCGAAGCCAAATGTTGTATTTCAACAAGATGGGGCTCCGTGTCACACCTCAAACCGCACTTAGAAGTGGTTGCAGGAACATCTTCCGTTCTGGGCGAAGGGTATGTGGCCGCCATCCAGCCCCGATCTTAATCCGCTGGCTTACTCGATATGGCGCGTCATGAAGGCCAAGGCCTGTTCTAAACGCCACACGAGGACAGCAAGCCTCAGCCAAACAATGACCCGTACCTGGAGAGAAATTGATCCAGACTACATTATTAGAACCTGCCGTGCATACCGGAAGCGTGTGGAGGCCGTAATTGCAGCAAGTGGAAACTCGATCGATGATTAACATAGTTTAAGACTCTGAGAAACATCCCCCTTTGAATGAATAAAAAAAAACTCGAAAACGAAATTTTTGAGATTTTTTTTTAATTTTAACATTGCTTAATGGTGCAAACATTATCAAGCATACGGTATTCTACTTTATCGACTTCTACTTAACCGACTCTGAAAATGAATCGAGAAATATATATACAAAGCTGCAAGCTTAATCGGTCTGATTTGGGACTTGATCCTGGTCTGTTGGAGGTATGCTACTGCCGTTGTCTCCGTTCGATCTTACTGGGGCACAATTGTTCTCAAATACCTATGAGGTTGGTTTATAAGGATGAAGTCACAACTCATATTTTCGATGTTTACCTTGCAGAACAAGCAATTCACATCAGATTGAAATGCAAAACACTCAAACCTAGCTGTTTTGAACAGTAGTGTGATTCAATGTACAATACACTTGAATTTCAAAGTTTGAAACACTAGAAATCAGAATAGCTAGAAAAGTTATTAGCGTTTCCAATGAACATCATCTGCCTTGCTTTTGGGGAGGGCCTAACGCGCTTTGTGCGGTTTTTTTATAGGCATGGATATAACTTTTTTGTTTCATCATGAAATTTGCAGAAGTTTTCATAGTGAGTAGAAAAATGTTCGAAATTATAGTCTACTAAAAATTGAAACAGATTGGCCAAGTGGTTCCGGTTTTGGGATGGGATCAACTTCGTTGATGCAGAAGCATTATCTTGAATTGCTTGTCTGCAGGGAAAGCATTTCCGTCACCCCTTCAAGAAGAATGGAACACGTGTAGGAGAGGTGCTCGAGTTAATCCATAGTGATCTGTTCGGTCAAATAGAATGGTCCTTCATCCGTCGATGCTAGTCGCAAGATTTTCGTGTATTTCATTAAGTCAAAGAAGCTGCAGTGTTCCAAAGACTTCAAAGCGTTGGTGGAAAACCAGAACGGTAAACGGATCAAGCGTATGCGGTCGGACAATTGGCGTTGGTGGCACCGTCAAAAAATCGTCTCTTATAGCAAAGATTGACAGTTTCTTATGGGAATTGTCGGTGGAGTGAAAGGGTAGTATGAAGTCTGTCATGTTTCAAACACAGTCTGACGTTTGCTTACGGATTTTACCATTACACCGATTATGAAAGTGCAAATGATAACATCGAGACGGTTCGGATGGACTCACCTGCGCTTCCCTCGCAACAAGAAGAGCAAGCGGGATCGCCGAATCCCAGGTAAGTATCTAAACGTAACGAAATGACATACAGTGGACTTCCTGAAACGTTTGTTAAATCTCAGGTAGTTGTTGATCATCAACGAGCAATCGAGCCGCTATCGGTCAATGATGCAATGAAGTTCGACGATTGTCATGTATGGCGTGAGGCTATGGAAGCTGAGATACAGGCATTGAAAACCAACAAGACGTGGAAGCTGACCGAGCTTCCGGCAGGAAGAAAGGCTTTGAAGTGCAAGTGGATCTTCAAGTGGAAGCACAACCCTAACGGATCTGTGGAAAGACATAAGGCGATACTCGTAATCAAAGAGATTTCGCTAGTCAAGGGAGTCGAGTTCAACGAAACGTATTCGCCGGTAGTAAGATACGCAATTATTCGGTAACTGTTAGCATTGGCCCTTAAACAGGACATGCATATACACCAAGTTCCTTAAAGGGCAGCTAGTCGGTGAGGAAATTTACAAGTCTCGGTCGACGACTTTCTGCTTTTCCCTCGGATTAAAGTTTAATTGATGCCACGAAGAAGCAACTAATGTCGAACTTGCACATGAAGGACCTTGGGATGCGAAACACCAAAGGTAACAACACTGTAATAATAGATCAGCAGATGTACGCGGAGGAATTACTAGAGTAATTTATCATGACTGATTGCAACACTGTGTCAACAAACATGGACCCACATCAGTGTTTGACGAAATCAGTTGGACCAAAAACAGAGCAGCAAAAGTAGCTGATGGGATAGATACCATTTCGGGAACTTGTAGGAGGATTTCAGTTTTAGATCGGTTTATCTATCTATCCTTCAGAACATTCCAGGCAACAATGCATACAATCAGGCGTGAAGGAACGTACCGCTGTAAAAAGATACTATTTTGCAGATTAGAACGCAACCAATCCTGCCAAATATCCAAATGCACAAAAATTTAGGGTAACTACCTTTAGTTTGAACTCACTATCCCATTCTTCGTGTATCATCTTAAACAAGGAAGATGGCAAATTGATTGATTGATTTATTTTTATTAAGGATGCTTTCAGCCTGCGGCTGGTTCGCCTCCAACAGGGAAGATGCCAAAGCTAACTTCAAGTTATATGGAATAACTTATATTTGTGTGCATTTAAATATTTGGCAGGATTTTTTGCGCTCTAATCTGCAAAATAGTGTCTTTTGACGTAGACTACGTCTTACGGGAAGGTACTGGGGGTAAATCGAAAATCTAAAATTGCGACCATCACGAAAAGGTGTAAGGTTTTGAACGCTTATAACTTTGTCATTTATAAATGAAATTAAAATCCAAATACACCAATCGATAGGAAATAACTCTCGTTAACTGTTACAATAAACGCTCTTTCAATTTTTCAAAAAAAAACTGTTTTTTAAAATTTACAAATAAAAAGTGATAATATTATCACTGTTTTCATGAAATAAACGTTCTCCCCAAACCCAGTCGCAATAATCGAGTACCATTTGGTTGCACATCGTGCTGCTTGAATCTGAAAAGTTATAAAACAGCGCTACTAATGTGCCTCAAATCATTTTTGCTTCGGACGGCGGGTAAACAGGTAGCAGCAGCTGCAGCAGTAGGAAGGCGGTTCCTGTCAAGCGCGCAGCGTTCAAATTTTTTACCTCGAACTTTGCGCGTCGTTCCCGTCGAGATCACTGGCTGCTGGTAGCGGCGTCGCCTCCATGGTGCAAGCGCTCCTTGCCTGAATGATAACTACAAATTTATATTACTTTTTCGAAAAGACATATCAGCTTTTGTAAACAACGCATTTTATCGTCGGTTTGGCATAACTGATAGCTCGCCCCACATACTAACATCACTATATCAGGTAGGGGTAAAAGCAACTGCAAGAAACGAGGGCATTTTGCAGCAAAATGTCCACAGAAGCAAAATCCTCCTAGAACGTTTGGTAAAGCTTTGTGTAGCGTTTTTGCGATAGGCGATGTAAACGCCTCAGAGTGGTACTTCGATTCTGTTGCCACATGTCACTTGTCCCGAAGAGGCAACGATTTTGTGAAGCAGCAAGAATTGTCGCGTTCTGTGGGAACGGCAAACAACGGCAGCATGAAGTCGGTCGCGAAGGGACTGGTCAATCTCGAGCTGTGTGAAGGCCCAATCGAAGTTCAAGAAGTGCTGCAAATTCCGGAAATAACAACTAATCAATCAGCAAGATTTGTCGAAACGGATTAACGGTAGTCTTCAATGCGGAGAAATATGAAGTACTCGAAGGTGATGGCAACGTGATTGCATCTGGTACACAGGTAGGCGGACTGTACATGCTCAATCGGAGGAACGAGGGATCGTTACTTACAACGAGCACAAGCATCTGGAACAGACGACTGGGACACCTCAACCATCAAAGCTTACGAAAGCTGACAACGATGGCAAACGGGATCGATATGGCGAAGGAAACAGTCCCCGAATGCATTGCTTGTATCGAGGGTAAGCATGCACGTAATCCATTTCCTTCCAGTGTGTCACGAGCCGAAGGACTGCTGGATTTAGTCCACTCCGACCTGGTTGGTCCTATCGATGTCCCTTCACTAGGTGGAAGTCGTTTCATCATGAAGTTCATCGACGATGCGAGTCGATGAATGTTCTGGACAGGAAAAATGAAGTATTCGAAGCATACATGAAGTTCAAGTCCATGGCCGAAAGGCAGACCGGGCGGAAGCTGAAAGTTCTGAGGACGGACAATGGGACCGAATACGTCAATGTATCGTTCAGAAGCAGCATGGAGAAGGATGGAGTGCGTCACCAAAAGACTTGTCCATACACACCTCAGCAATACGGTGTAGCGGAACGGATGAACCGGACGCTCATCGAGAAGGCCAGAAGCATGCTGAACGATTCACGTCTCCCGAAGGAATTTTGGGCCGAGGCGGTTTCAACGGCAGCGTACCTCGTAAACAAGAGTCCAACGAAGTCCCTTGAGATGACACCGGAGGAAGCATAGCTTCTGAGACATTTGCGAATTTTCGGATCGTTAGTACTGGTCCACGTACCGAAACAAAAGAGGAAGAAGCTCGACACAAAATCCCAAAAAGCAGTTTTCGTTGGATACGCCGCCGATGTCAAGGGATATCGGGTATATGATCCCGTCAAGCGTGACATCCAAATCAGCCGTAACGTGATTGTGATTCAAGAAGGCCAACCGCAGGATTTGCTCGAGCTCGTCGAGAATGTGCAACAGGTACAGTTCATGGAGCTGTATACGATCGAACAACCAAGTATGGGTAGCAACAACATCATCAAAGCAACAGATAATACGGATAATACATCGGGAAGCGACTCAAGCGATGCTGAATACGAAGATGCCGCCAGTGAGGATGCCGACAACGAGCCTGCGCTCCCACTGCAATCTGATAGACCAGCTGAAGAGCAAGGGTTTAGGCACAGTGGTCGGGAGCGCCAATTTCCAGGCAAGTATTCCGATTATGTTACTTATAGTTCGTTTACTGGTAAAGTTGTATCACCCCAGCCCTCACCGATACAATCTGAGATGCCGTCTGATGACCCCAATGGACCGGACCGCGAACAGTGGATCGCGGCCGTGCATGAAGAAATCGCAGCTTTGGAAGAAAACGAGACGTGGGAGTTGACGAACCTTCCAAGCGATCGTAAGCCTATTCGGAACAAGTGGATCTTCAAAACAAAGCGAGGAGCAACTGGTGAAGTCGAGCGGTACAAGGCTCGTCTGGTCGTGAAAGGGTGCTCGCTGCGAGCCGCTGCGGCCAGGTATCGATTTTGACGAAGTGTATTCCCCGGTGGTACGGTATTCCACCATCCGATACCTTCTGGCGCTGGCAGTGAAGCACGACTTGGATGTGGAGCAGATGGATGCTGTCACCGCGTTCCTTCAAGGGAAGCTAACGGATGAAGTCATCTATATGAACCTACCGGAAGGGTTTGCCGGTAATTCGAAGGAAGTCTGTCTTTTACGAAAAGCAATATATGGCCTCAAACAATCCAGCCGTGTGTGGAACAACCAGCTAGATGAAGCGCTGAAGGAGTTTGGACCGGAGCGGTCCAAAGTTGATCCATGCCTGTACTTTCGGATCGACGGTAAAAAAAATGATTTTCGTCACCAGCTATGTCGACGATTTCTTAATCTTCACGAACGATGCCAAGCTAAAGCGGAAGTTGAAGATGTTCCTTCACAATCGCTTCAAAATGAAGGATCTTGGCGAAGCGACTTTCTGTCTGGGATTAAAGATCACACGAGATAGGAAGAACGGAAAGCTGTGGGTAGATTAGGAGCACTACATCGACAGCATTTTGCGACGATTCAATCTGGCGAACTGTAATCCAGTTTCCACACCAGCGGAGGCTAGTGTCAAACTGGATAAGTCTATGGCACCGACGACGCAAAAAGAGATCATCGAAATGAAGCAGGTTCCTTACCAGGAGGCAGTTGGCTGTCTCACTTATCTGGCGCAGGCGACGCGGCCAGACATCAGTTTTGCGGTCAACCAAGTTAGCCAATTTAACAGCAATCCCGGACGTAGCCATTGGAATGCTGTCAAACGCATCATCCGGTACCTGCGAGGTACTAGTTCAGTTCGGCTGACATACTCAAAGGAGCACTGCGAGGATTTGGTTGGCTACACAGATGCCGATTGGGGAGGAGATCCGGATTCCAGGAAATCTACAACCGATTATGTTTTCACGTTCATGGGAGGAGCGGTGTCTTGGAATGTTAAGCGACAACCAACAGTGGCGCTATCCACATGCGAAGCGGAATACATCGCGCTTTCCCGCACTACCCAGGAAGCATTATGGTGGCACCATTTCCAGTCACAGATTTTTGGTATGCAAGGGATTTCGATCCGGTGTGACAATCAATCAGCCATCTGTATCGCACGTAATCAAGGCTACAATCCCAGAACCAAACATCTAGACATCAGGTATCATTTCGTCAAAGATGTGCTAGAAAGAGGAGTCGTCAAGCTGGGATATGTTAGCACGAAGCAGCAGTCAGCGGACGGTTTCACCAAACCGCTAATGACTCAGCAGCTGCAAGAATTCAAGATATTATTAGGATTCGTAGCTTAGGAAGGAGTGTTAGAAGAGATCGAAGTAACCTACGATGTCCTATACTATGTACATATTCCCTTATATACTACTGTACCTTAGCAACCTACGTAGCAACAGTAGTTGTTGAATCGAAATAAATTGTCATTAGCCACTCGGACCGAGCGGTCTTATTTCTTTTACTCTGCGAAAAATTTTAAATCAATATCTAGACAAATGTACGAGAATTTCACTACACAGCTTAACGTAGTCTACTTGAACCAAGCGGTCGTGTTTTGTACACAACCCCACCAATTTTTTACAGCGGTACATTCCTTCACGCCTGAATGTATACTTTGTTGCCTGGAACGCCCTGAAGGGTGGTATGGCGCGGCTAAAAGGATCCTGCGATATCTAAAAGGGACCAAATCAATGAAGTTGACCTTCCAGATTGGCAGATTGAACCGGCATTCGAGGGATTCCGCGACTCAGATTGAGGCAACCACCCTGATACTGAGGTTCTGGCAAGTGCAACGCAAGAAGCTGTTTGGTGGCGTGGTTTCCTTGGAGAAATGTTCAACGCAAATGTCCCGGTTCCAATCTTCTGTGACAATCGAAGAACGATTTGTTTGCCGGAGAAAGAAATTGGTTATTTGCCTCAGAGTAAAAATATTGACCTCAGACACCACTTCGTACGGGAGCAGTTGGAGAAGAAGGCGATCTCGTTACACCATGTGAAATCCGAACTTCAGAAGGCAGATGTTCTTAAATCCATTCCGGTGGGACGTTTTTCTGAAGCTGTAAAGAACTTGGGAGTTCTACAAATTCATGGTTAAGGAGGAGATGTTGATAGTAAGTCTTGAATCTGTACGAAATAAATATTCATTCTGTCTGTATTACTAGTCATACCAAGACACGTGTTTTACTATCGTAGAAACCTTTAGTTTCCTCTGTGCTCCCGTCATCATCAACATAACATTCTAAAGGAGACACGCGGAAGATGTGGTCATGTGCAGATGCGGATTATCCCTGTCAGACCTTTATTAGAAAAAAAATCGCAGCTTTAAGCATTAATCATACTAGGCGGCTCTTGTGCAGGCATGTCAGCCATATTTTTCATTCAACCCTAATTGTTTCATTAAGCACTTTACTCGAAAACATGACTTGGTCATAAGTGTCAAAGAACAAGCCATTTTAGCGGAATAAATCGATTCAATTCACATACAACGGCAATATGTTGCAAAAAGTAACGATTTTTTGCTATTCCAAAACCATAAATTACAACGTTTGCACCACGCTGCAACACTCCACACATCACCACAGACTGCATCAAAGGCCAAACACAGTCGGGTTCTCTGCACTATCAGAGCAATTCTATCAGCAGACTGCGCCTTCCCCAACATGCCTATAGACCTAAAACAAGGGAAATCCTCCCTTTGAAATAACCCATTCATTCATGTTTTGTTTTCCCATTTTCCGAATTTTCCCAACACCACAGACAACAGCGCCAAAATCGACTGCACCAAAAGCCGAAACTCGCTGCTGTGCCGTGGAAAGCGAGGTGATAAGCTTATGGCAGCTGCCCTCACCGCTGCATCGCCCGCTCCGCTGCTGTCCACTGCTGCGGGTACGACGATAGCATCTTCATCGCCGCCATCGTCGGACGGCATGGTCCCGGTGCAAATCGTCGACCATCCGGTCAATGCGGTGGTTAATGAGAGCGCGTCGGCTATTTTTAATTGTGGCTTCCAGTCGCTTTCGAACGAGACGGCCGCAGCGGCATTCACCCTGAAGTGGCGCAAGGACGGCAAGGTGATCCGGAAGTGGGACAACGGGCTAGCGGAGCTGGATGGCGATAACGGGGCTACCGAGAGCTCCATGTTTCGGGACGATGGTAAGCATGTTTGAATGGATTTAGGAGTTGGAGGATTAGATTTTCATTTCGCTTTTCGCTTTTGCAGCTCGGATTCACGTGGACCGGAACAATGGTTCGTTGGTTTTCAATTCGGTTATTGCCAGCGACGAAGGCAGCTACGATTGTCAAGTGACCAACAATGGGAGCGAGTTTCTCGTAACGTCCAATGCTGCCGAGCTGCAGATCATATGTGAGTAATTTTCGGTTTTCATTGAATGACCGGCGCTAATTGAATTGTGAATTGAATTTGCAGCTAATCTGCGTTTCACTCCGAAACCACCGACATCGAAGAACCTGGAGCTGGGATCCGTCGCCAAAATCCACTGCAAGGCTCAGGGAACGCCGACTCCGTCGGTTCATTGGGTCACGGAGGGTGGCAGAGCAGATCTGCCGGATTCGGTCGAGGACGTCAATGGGACACTGATCTTCCGTACGGTGTCCACGGATCATCGTGGAAGCTACACGTGCGTCGCTTCCAACAGTCAGGGTGATATTAGTGCTTCCGTGCAGGTCAATGTGGTTGTGGCTCCAAAGTTTGAAATCGCCCCTGAGGGATCCATTCAGGTAACCGAGATGGGAACGGTATTCATACATTGCGTAGCGACCGGCGATCCGAAACCGACGGTTCAGTGGGACAAGGATTTGCAGTACCTGCACAGTTCGAACCAGACGGAGGAAGAGAGATTCCGGATTCTGGACAACGGGACGCTGGTGCTAACGGAGGTGAACTTGGACGATGATGGGAAGTACGGGTGCACGATTGGGAACAGTGCCGGGCTGAAGCGGGAGGAGGTTCATCTGGTTGTGAAGCGTGAGTAGAGTTGATAATTTTTGTTCGTAGGTTCTGACAGCAGCATGAATTCATTTGCAGCTGCCGACAGCATGCCTCTGCCGGAGGAATCGTCCGAGGATGGGTTCCTGATAACGCGAGCCGTTCTGATCACAATGTCCGTCGCGTTCGCCTACATCATCCTGGTGGTTGGTCTGATGCTATGGTGTCGCCATCGTCGGGCTGCCCGCAAAGCTCGACTCAACACGAGCTTTAAGGAAAATGGCGATGTGGATCTGAAGAACTGCGAAATCGAACCCTGTCTGCCGGAGAAGTCCTCCCAAGATGGCGCTGCCTCCAAGTCGAAGACGTCCTCCAAGTCCAAGCCGGCCCATCAGAAAACGGGTTCCAACGCCGCCGCCGCTGCCACCGCCGACGGGCAGGAGAAGAGCGACGATACGGTGAATTCGAACAAATCTAAAAAGTCGAGCGGTTCCGGCTCGTATCTGGAGCAGCTGTCCGTTCCGCGATCCAGCGTGATCGACATGCTGCAGATTGGAAAGTGTGACTTTGGGGATGTGTTCATTGGAAAGATTAAGGAGAACGACTGCAAGACGGTAAAGGAGGAAGTGGTAAGGGATCCAATCACTGGCGACGAGGTGACTCTCGCTACCAAGTCTGACGTCACGAACGAGGATGAGAAGATAAAGAAGAAGCCGTCCAATCAGGAGCTGAACGAGATCAAACCGGAGAACGACTACAAACTGGTGATGGTGAAGGCGCTGACCAAGGTGAAGGATGAGCACTGCTGTTCGGAATTCCGACGGCAGCTGGATCTCTTCCGGACGGTTTCGCACAAGAACGTGGTGAAGCTGTTCGGACTGTGCCGGGATAAGGATCCGCATTATATGCTTTTGGAGTACACCGATTGGGTAAGCAACTGTTGCTTAAGTCTTTCAGGACTTTTAACCAACAATCTTCGTCCATGTTTTAGGGTGATCTGAAGCAATTCCTGCTGGCCACCTCGCCCAGCGTCCCACCGAACGGAAGCGTAGAGTCCAAGAGCTCACCCAAACCACCGCCGTTGAATGTGCCACAAATTCTCGCCCTAGCCCACCAGATTGGACGCGGTATGGATGCAATCTACAAAGCTCGAATTATTCACAAGTAAGTGCTGAACAATTATATACCCTCAAAAACGTACTTCAACCGAAATTTCGTTCTCCCCGCAGGGACCTAGCCACCCGCAACTGCATCATCAGCAGTGACTTTTCGGCCAAGATCTCCCTGCCCGGCTTGAGCCGGGACAAGTACAACAAGGAGTACTTCAAGTTCAAGAACCAACTGATGCCGGTCCGGTGGATGGCCCCGGAGTGCCTCCAGGACGACGATTTCTCCATCAAAAGCGACACCTTCTCGTTCGGGGTGCTGATGTGGGAACTGTTCACCCAGGCCACGGAGATACCCTTCAAGGATCTCACCGACGAGGAGTACGTCACGCAAGGGCAAGCCGGCAAGCTGGAGTGGAAAGTGGCGGAAAAGACGCCGGAGAGTCTGCACAAAATTCTGGTGAGTTGAGCTTCGAATGTGCAACAAGGTTAGGATTAAAATTTCTGTCGTATTACAGGCGACATGTTGGTCAGTGAACCCGAAGGAACGACCTTCCTTCAGCCAACTGGTCGTTGCGGTTGGCAACTGCCTGCAAAGCGAATACCCAAAGGAACCACCGACTGAACCGGGTGCGACGGTGGCGGCGGCGGCGGCGGCGGCGACCGCGGCAACTACGACAACGACAGCGGATTAGGACGAGTAAGTAAATGCGAGGCTGCCATTTTTTCGCCACCGCTCGTGATTGAAGAGGAAACTTTACACAACGACATTTTTTCTTATTGATGGAAAGTTTTTCGATTATTATTGCTACCAGTGGCGTATTATTATTAGCTGTATTATATTAGTATTTATTGTCAAACAAACAAGTAGATCTTGTATACTCAAGCGAATATTTTACATCCTCCGGATGTAGAAGGATGTAAAGCGGTTTTGGATTCTCTTTTTATCTGATCGGAAAAGTTTGATAAGTTTAGGAAAAGTTTAAGATAGACTCGTGCAACCAACTGCCGTACAACACTGGACAGACGGACGCATTTGAAACGAAGAAGTCTGTCGACTGCTAAATGCATTTAATGAAAAGAAGACTTGATAATATTATTGATAGTGAATAAGTGACTCGAATGCTGGAAAATTATCACCGACGTACTGTATTGATACTGTAATTGCTATTAATTGTACTTGTAAGTAGTATCCATCAGCATCCATTCGAACGGATATTTATGCATCTTATTATGGAACGAGAAGGTAGACCAGAGGTAGATTATACAATTTGAGCTGTCATTGAGAGCGGCAATTGCGCTGATTATTGGATGGTTTCAGTTTGGAATGAATTCGTGGTTCTCAGGTCAACAACGGCGAAATGTTGGAAATTCTCAGTACAGTATTAGTGGGATTTTTGTATCCTCTTGAAATTCGTCCAGAAATTCACATGATAATCCGACTGGACAATTCTAGCTGGGCAATTTACAAATCAAAGACATTACCTGTGTCGTCATAGTTACGTTGTCTAAAATCACAACAAAAAGAAAAAGTACAGGGAATCGATTGCGGATGCACGGTAAATGAATCTGAGTCATATTTGAGTATCGTTCACTTAAATTCACAAAAACGTAGGTCAGTCATTGAATGAGTAAAATTTGTCGAGCTTCTCCAGGAAAATCAACGAAAATTTCACTCAGTCTAGGAGTATAATAATGGACTAAGCGGAACCTCTCTAAATTGTCCTCATATTCGAGAAGATTTTCCTGGAAAAGCTCGGAAAAATTTACTCACTCTATAAAATACGTCGCCGCACGAAGCTGACTATATACAAGACGCTGATTAGACCGGTGGTCCTCTACGGTCACGAAAACTGGGCTATGCTCGTGGAGAATCGACCCGCCCTTGGTGTTTTTGAACGGAAGGTGTTGCGTACCATCTACGGTGGAGAGCAGATGGATGACGGAACGTGGAGGAGGCGAATGAACCACGAATTGCGCTAGCTGCGCTGGGAGAATCATCCATCGTCCACACTGGAAAAATTGGGCAACTACGGTGGGTTTGGCACGTCGTAAGAATGCCGGGCGACGACACAGTGATAATGGTTCTCGAAAGCGACCCAGCAGGAACAAGAAGAAGAGGCACGCAGCGGGAAAGGTGGATCGACCAAGTAGAAGACGACCTGCGGACCGTTCGCAGACTACGAGGCGACGTGTGGCCATGGATTAAGTAGAGTGGAGACCAAGGATGGAAATGGTCATTCACTCACATTACTCTTGGTAACTCAGTTCATTGTTTTGGCAACTACTTTCCGTTCGCTCACAAACTGAGGAAATCTCTCCAAATGAACTAACCTTATAGAAAGTACGTAGTGGCCCCTTGTGTCACCAGACTAACTTTGCATTTTATCAGTTCATCAGTGACATTCCTCATCCTTTTGAAGAACCAACGGCATCAAGATCTTAGGTATCATGGCTGTCTTCCATTTCTTCTTTAGGTAAGAGATTTTTGAAAGTTCCTAGACTTAAACTCTTCTTCAAGAATTCTCTCGCCAACGTAAATCTCTGTCACTCTGAACGGTGGCTTTTCCTTCGTGGAACGGATCGAACGGAAAGCCATGGAATTAATTCACCCTCCACTTCATGTCAAGTTTGTGCCACGTGTCCTTTGGAACATGAACATATGCTTACGACCCATAGATCCTGAGATGTACATTCGATGGTTTCCTACCGAAGCACTACTCATACGGAGCATAGATCGCAGATAGTTATCAACTTTAAGAATATTTGGGTATCTACCAAGCTGATTTATGAATGATGCAGATTTTTTCCTCAGCTTCCAATTTTCTCTAGAGTGGCTAGACGAAGTAATCATTCATCAATGCAATGTAGAAATGATTATACTCTGGTGTTGCTACTTTCATCAGACCTCCCGGGACCAGGCTGGACGTTACAGTACCCATCGGCTGCACTTCACAAGAACCCATTTTCAACCCGTGTGCCACTCACGCACTACCTTCAGCAGCGCTGGCAGATCTCTGTGTCCGTATCTACGTCGCCAGAAATTTCGCCTTGCAAGTGTTTTGGGTCTACTAAGAACTCCCGTTCAGATAATTGTTTCAGATTATATAGACCATCATTCCGTTTATCCAATAACGCAGCTTCTTCTCTTGTTAGCACCGATGCGCTGTGAAGCTTCTCAACTAACACTTGAAACAACAAATCAGTTATTCGTCAGAGCAAGTTCCGTGCAAGTGATTCACAGAAACAGCCTACCCGGAACCAGCACCAGCGATTTACTATCAGCCAGACAAAAGAATGTCCATTTAGACCCATCTTGCTCTTTTAGAATGTTGGTGTTGTTCTTGATGTGAGAAGTTGCACCTGAAGCAAGATACCACACTTCATCTTCCCCAACTACCTCAGCAGCAACTCTCCTCCGGACTCCAATTTTACAACAATTTTCGCTTGCTATGGATTTTCAATTTCGCAAACTTCCCATGGGAGAACAGGCCCAATTCCTGGAACTTCTGAATCAAGAATGGACACAAGATTCCTTCCCAGAGGAGGCACAGTCTCACCATCCCGATCCCCAAACCAAACAATGTGGGAAACGAAGTCTACAAGTACCGGCCAATTTCTCTAACATGCTGCGCATCGAAGATAATGGAGATGATGGTGAATAGGAGACTACTCAGTTTCCTGGAAGACGGTAATCTTCTAGACCACCGCCAACACGCATTCAGACCGGGCACGGGACCAGCACCTACTTCGGATCCCTAAGCAAGGCCCTTCAGGATACATTTTCCAAAAACCATCACGCAGAACTGGTCACTTTCGACCTATCCAAAGCATACAACCGGGCATGGATGCCGGGAGTACTTGACCAGCTGAAGAAATGGGGATTCAAGGGACACATCCTAAAATTTATCCAGAACTTTTTGTGCAAACGTACCTTCCAAGTCACGCTTGGAAACTGCCGATCGATCCAAAACATTCGAGGAGGAAACAGGGGTACCACAGGGTTCCGTGATCGCCGTTACCCTTTTCCTCATTCACGCGGTTACCAGTTGGAATCTTCATCTTCGTCTACGTGACGACATCGTGCTAATGGCTGTCAAGAAAACGATGAAGGCACTGCGAAGAAAGCTTATTCAGGCCATCACCTACGTATCGACATGGACCTCGTCGGGCGGCTTCCAGCTATCCGCTACTAACAGCGGGTTCACCCACATCTGTCCGATAAAACACCAAGTCCTCAGCACCAAAGTCTGCATCAAAGAAGACCTAATTCCGTTTCGGAAAACGATCCGAATCCTCGGGGTCTGCTTTGACCGACATCTCACCTGCGATACACAATTCAACGATGTCAAAAACGGATGCAAACAGCGTATCAACCTGCTCAAAACTCTAGCGGGACGCCATCCAAATGCCAACCGAAGATCACGACTGAACGTGGCGAAAGTCATCATCAACTCACGCCTAACCTACGGAATCGAAGTGATCGAAAAGCTAGCGCCGGTCTATCAACAATCTCTCCGAATCTGTTCGGGTCTTTTGCCAGGTACCCCGGAATAGCTGCTTGCATCGAAGGAGGACTGCTCCCCTTTGATTGCTTCTTCTCCAAAACTATCTGCCAACGAGCCATCGGACTTTACCAGCAGACATAAGGAGACGACAAGGAAGATTCCCTCCTCACGGAGACGAACAATTCACTCACGGAAGCATCCAATCCGACTCTCCCCCAATACCCAAGTTTACTGGGTCGGAGTGAGGGGTTGGAACAAGCCGAAGATTATGACCGACCACACAATCAAACACCAATTCAGAGCTGGTGCCAATCCTTCAGCGGTGGCACAAGCGGTACTCCAACTCCAGAACCGGAAATACGGAGGATACACCATTCGGTACTCGGATGGCTCGGTAGCCCAGGGAAAGGTAGGAATCGGGATTTTCGGTCCAAACCTCGCGGAATGACATAGACTCCCGGATCAGTGCTCCATTTTCTCTGCGGAAACCATTGCCGCCTTCATTGCAGCCCCCATTCCCGACGACCGACCAATAGCCATATTCACCGAATCCGCTAGTGTGGTAGCCGCACTGGAAACCGATACGAGCAAACACCCTTGGATCCAGGCTATACAGGAACACGCGCCAAACAACACAGTCTTTGTGTGGATACCTGGACACTGCGGGGTCCATGGTAACGTAAAAGCGGACCAACTAGCCAACACAGGTCGTTGTATGGCCAAGTACACGCGAATTGTACCTGTTTCGGACCTCAAAAAATGGGTATCAAAAATCACCAACGAAAGTTGGGCTCGCGATTGGGTGGCCAGTGAAACCCCTGCCAGCAGAAAAATTAAAAGAGACAGCTCCAGGTGGACGGACCCACCGATACATCGAGAGCAGGTCATAGTATCCCGACTTCGAACACATCATATAAACATCTCCCACAACTACAAGGGAGACGATTCCATAGGATCTGTGATCTATGCCAAATTCCACAAACGGTGGATCCCGTTATCTGCCACTGTCCGAAATACGAAGCACCAAGAACCCGCTACGACATTCTGGGAAGCATCCGCGATGCTCTCGATAACGATCCTACCAGAATTACAGCCCTTCTAGCTTTCCTGCGGGAAGCTTAGCTGTTCGATCTAATCTGATCACCTCACTCACCATCATCATCATCACCACCATACCAGATCACACTCGGAACCTGAATCTCACAAGTATACAGACCAACGCAACGAAAACGGAATTCTCCAACAAAAAGACAGAATTAAGACAGCCACAAAGCAACTAAGGGACCCCTTTTCGGAGCCCCACCCTCGGAGGTTCCCTTCCAGGACCACCTAATTAAAAACTCCGTAGCTAAAAACTCTGTTTCTATGGCCCCACGCTCTTTTCGGAAATCCCCTCTGGAATCCAAACTATGTTGTTAGGGTAATTTCCCTCTGGAATTCCCACCCCCATCAAATAGGAGATTCCCCATCTGGGATTCCCAGAAACGAACCAGCTCAAGGCTAAAAGTTTCTTTAATAAAGAAAAAATAATAATAATTTCGCAAACTGTCATTTTTTTTGCAGCAATGACAGTTTCTCTTTGCTATAGGTTTCTTCTTCAAGGAACCGATCGTTAGAACTTCCTTCTTAGTCCAGCAAGTATCTCTTGGAAAAATTGACCACCAAATTCACATCTGGTCGACTTTTGAGTACTATTATCAATCTGCCGTCGTTAAGCGATTCAAAAGTTTCGCGAACGAAACAATGCATTCATTTGCGATCCTTTTGACAATCATTCAAAATCAAGCTGAACATTGAATTAGGTCTTAAGTAACATTGACAGATTCTCTTCGACTTTCTCTTTGTATCCCTACGGCCATGTAAAGACATTCGTAGGTATTTTCTGCACACCGATCGATAAAAGAAGCTTTTATCTAGCATCTAATACGACAAACACATCAAGAAACGGTTCTGTGCTCAAGTTAATAGCGAAAGAGAAAGTCGACGAAGAGAATCGATCGATGTTACTTAGGACCTAATGCAATGTTCAGCTAGAAATGCGAAGCAAGTAACGTGAGAATGAATCAATGGATGAACATGAACATCAATGAACACTGTCAACCTTTTCATGTTTACCTCCTGTTGTGTGAGCGCTAAACTCTCCACAGCCAGGGTTGCTGAGATATCACAACAGAAAAATGTTCAATGATGATTTCAAATTGAACGTTTCGAAAATGATTTTTAAAATGCCTGGTGGAGGCGACTTCTTCGGACAGCAGAGGACATCAAGGCCTTAGCCTGATTGGTAGGGCAAGGTAAGTTATGAGTGACCTACGTTTTTGCGAGTTTGAGTGAACGATACTCAAATATAAGTCAGATTAATTTGCCGTTTGTTTCATATAGAAAATGCCAATCTATCAGTTATTCTTCGTGCTGCCACTAATACCCCACGAGAAATATTTTACTTTCCATAGAGTTCTCCAGATGCACAAAAGTGTGCGTGAGACCGC